CTGCATTTAATTTCTTCATTGTGATTTGATAGGCTGTTAAGTTTTATTGCCAAGCTTCCTTGTTGAGTTTTTATCATCAGTAAAACCTCTTACTCTTAGGTCCGTGATCTGGCCTGGAGGATTAAACACCAACTCTGCTTGGGCTGTTGGGAATGCTGGCCTGTCAAGCCCAAGTCCTCAGATTCATGTGCATTTCGTTAATTTCAATTACTCTTATTTTACTACAGACCAGCTATGGAGCTTTCCTGGGTGCTGGAACCAAAATTTCTCAGGGAATCAGATTAATCTGGAAAGCCTCGTTCCTGGGACTCTAGATGAGTGTGGCTCCTGTCCGGCCTGGAATTTGGCTGTGCCTGCCATCTTCTACAAATGTGAGTAGAATCTCCAGTGTTTGGACATTGTGAAGAGTCCTGCAGAGACTCTGGGGCTCTTCTGAGTCTTTTGTGACAAAGCTGACTTGCTGATACTCACAGATACCTCGGGGCAGACTCACACTGATGGATGCCTCTATTCATCACAGCTCCTCTTTGCTTTGGTTTTTAACCCTTTATATCAGTGCAAAATATGTATAGAAGCTTTTAAAGTTTTATTCCCAGGCTTCAATCCTGAGGAAATAATCTGACATGTAGACAAATACTTATGCATCAAAGTGTTCTCTGCAGTATGCTTTATAGTGGGAAATTCAGTAAACAACTTAAACCCTTAAAGTTACGTGGCTCATGAAATAATCTGTGGTCCATCATATGTGGGAATATTATGTGACCACCAAAAACATGTACAAAAAGGCATTTTTAATAACAGAGGAAAATATAAGATGATGGTAAGGAGACTATGCCAAGGAAAATATTCATGGATAAAAAGACTAAAAGAAATAAAATTAAATCCCTTCTCACCTGGCACATAAACAATTGAAAAATTCAAATGAATTAAAGAATGAAATGAGAAAACAAAATTTCATTTTAAAAAAGATAGGGCACAGTTTTCAAATTCAAGGATGAATTTCCTAAACAACCCACAAATGTAGATGTGAGGATGGGAAAGGCAGATTTTCAGAATGGCTCATTGTTGAGGTATGGCTTCCAGGACTGACTGTGTTTGAATTCTGGCTGCTCTGTTTTGGTTATGTGACCTTGGACAAGTTTCTTGACATGATGGTACCACTCTTTCATTATCTATAAGATGGGAATAATCATGTTATCAATATCACAGGTTTTGTTGAGAAGATTAAATGAGTTAATACATGCAAAACGTCTAGAACAAAAGTCAATCTAGAATAAGTGCCCAGTAAGCATTATAGTTATTTATTTGACTACAAAAATTGTGAAGTATTGAACAGCAAGGGGCACCATAGACAAAGTTAAAGCAAGTAACAGACTAGGAGAGAGAACATCGAAAATATAGAGGAGAAACCAGGTAAAAATTAAAATCTGTAATTACAGAGTTCTAGGTCAAAGGAAAAAGATGGCCCAGTAGAAAAATGGGCAGATGTATGAGTAGGTTATTCATGGGAGAAATGTGAAAGGCTAGTGCTATGGTTTGGATCTTAAATGTCCTCTAAAAGCTCATCTGTGAGAGCTTGGTCCTTAGGTAATGGTACCCTTGAGAGGTAATGGTAACCTTAGAAGGTAGGGCCTAGTGGAAGGAAGTGAGGTCATTGGAGGTGTGTCCTTGAGGAATATATTGGGACTTTCTCTCCCTTTCCCTTCCATATACTATCTTCCCTCCCCTTAACTCTCTCTCTCTCTCTTTTTCTCTTCTTGCTGTCATGAAGTGAACAGACCTACTCTGACATGTGCTCCCTGATATGATGTTCTGCCACCATAGACTCAAAAGGCCACAGGGCCAAGTGACCATGAAACCACTGAGTCTGTGAGCCAAAATAAATCTTTCCTTTTTTTAAGCTGATTTTGTCACAGCAGCAGAAAGCTGATTAACACACTGATTACCTCATGAAGGGATGTTCAGCTTTTCCAGAGGTCGCAGAGCTGCAGAAAAGCTGCACTTCACCCAGTCAGGCAGAACTATCAAAGGCAGATAGCATCCACGGTTGCAAGGGTGCAGACTGTGCCACTGCTATACACGGTAAAATCTAACAAAGCTTTAGCACCCTGACTCCATGGCCAAGCAACTTCACTTTCAGCAAGTAATCCTACATATTTAGACAAAACATCAGGGAACATCCTAATACTATATTTACAAAAGTTCACAGTATTGTTTGAATGGAGAAAAACATCAATCGATAGGGGACCAGTTTAGAATCTATGGCATATCCAAATTACAAAACACTATTCAGTGGTTAAAAACATTGGGATAGATTTATATGACAGCACCTTCATTTACATGGAAACATCTTTAAGACCTACTGGAAAATGAAAGTATCAAATCATGAAAAAAAACTGGGAATGATTCGACTATGTTAACAAAAATGAATAAATAAAAAAGGAAAAATCCTGTAACTTAGATGAAGCTCTGCAGATTGAGAAGGAAGGCTGTGAAACTTTAGTGGTGGCCAGGCCTGGGGAGGGAGATGCCCATGCCAGCACTGTATTCTCATGTACCTCTCAAACCTGCACAGCCTACAAAAAAAGTGCTAAAACTATTTCTAAATTATTTGTACAATTAGAAAAAAAAACTCAGTAGCATGAAGGTGTTTTATTTCATGATGGTTATACAAATCTATACTTGTATTGACAAAACAGTCAACTTTACTGTATATTAATTACACAAAATAACAGAAAAAAAGAATTACAAGAGTGATGCCCAAAAAATGAAGTGGTTGCTACTGAACAATGGATTACAGGTAGTTTTTTTCATCATTTATATTTCCATATATCTTCTAGATTTCCAATAAAGATCATATATCACCTTTAGAATAGGACAAAAGTAAAGTAAAAAGGAAAAAAAAGAAGAGTAGAAAAGCTGACAGGGACCGGCTACCAATGACAGGCTAGCTCCTGAAAGCACAGTGGTCTCCAGTACACATCTGCTGGAGGTCAGTTGAGGCAAAGAAAGCATCTCACCTTGGGCCTGCTGTAAGGCTAAGGGTAGACGGTATCAGAGTGGGCAAGGGCAAGCCCTTGCAGCACTGGGCAGAGAACAGTTAAGGGGGACTCTGGTTCCTTAGCAGCTTCGTCCTGGGCTTCAACACCTGCAGGGGTGTTGATGGGACCAGCAAAATGACAAGCTTCTCAGGGACATCCCTTTTCACTAACCCCACTTAAGTGATCCCTACTTAGGTTGCATAACCATGGCATGTTATCTTTCCCTGGGAGTTACGTGGAGAGAGGTGGAGAGAGACGGAAAACAACAGGGAGAAGAGAAGATGAGCAACAGCAGACAATCTCACTTCTCACCCAGAACACTTCAGAAAGAAACAAAAGGCAGCAGGATGGGCAGCAGTCAGTGTCCTGCAGACAGGATTATAGGCATGAGCCACTGGCACCTGACCCCATCAGCACTTCTGAGACTGGCCAGAAGAGCTCATTTCAGCTGGGGAGACTGCAGTGCTGCCAGGCTGTCTTAACAGTTGGCTTCTTCAAGTACCTCTAACCTTGGGAACACTCTCACAAAGGTCCTAGCAGGCCTGAGTATAACACACTCCTAAGGCCCTATCTGTAATTACCATTAATCAGGAGGGTCCTGCAAGACTGGAGAGTCATCAAAACTTTTGTTTTAGATCCTTTTTGCCTACTTTCTAGAAACTCAGGAGACCAGACTTAGGGAATATTTTTTCTTGGATTCTTCTTTAAGAATTTAGTACTACAAGAAAAGAATTAGAAAAGGCCACAGTAGCAGTGTGTTTATGAAAAAATCCTGGACTAACCAGGAAGAGGAGAGTAGGCAGGAGTCCAGCGGTCAGGCTTTGCCTCTGTTTCTCCCAGATCCAATGGCTCTTGATGTCTAAAGCATTACAGGACTCATGAGAAGTGGATAACCTGAGCCATTTCTCTGTGAGACAGTCTCCTTATCCTCAAAATAGGTTTAATAACACTCACTTTGTGATACTATAGATAAGATGCAAGATGGCCCTTTCATAAGCCACTCTGTCACCATAGGGTGATGCACAACTGTCAGCATGAGGACGCTTTATGCTGAACAGATTAATCATGCATTCTCCTCACAGAACATGGCTCTGGGGACGAGACTGCCTCCTCTCCTGCACTGACACTGCAGTTATGACATAATCTGTGAAGCACACACTTCCTGTTTTTTCTTTCTCCTCCACAATCTCTTACTCACCATCACTGGGCCAAAGAGCTGACAGGAGGCCTTTATGACAGAACATAGCACCCTTCACCAAGCTGTGACGAGGCCCAGCTCTTCACCCATTGAAGGGCCCATCAGCTCTGGGCCCAGGGTTGCCATTCCCTTGCTCACCCAGGACCAGCCTTTTATCTCTTGGAACCAACTAGTTAGTTTTCCATTCTCCACAGGTGTGGGAAGGACACTGGCCCAGAAAGACCCTGAGGTACAAACCTTCCAGGCATTATTGCAAGCACATTTGCACCAGGGACCCAGCTGTCTTCCTTGATTCACTGTGGTCATCTTATGCTTAGACGGAAACCAGGTGGAGCAGAAAGACAGCATTCTACACGATGGAAGATCTGAGGTCCCAGCCTTGGCCTCACTCTGCCTGCTCAGCTAGGTGGCAAGGGCAGACCCTCTCTGTGCCTTGGTTCCCCACTGGTGAGGAGTGATCACTGCCCTAGGTAGTGTCCTGACTCCTCCTGCTCAATGCTGAGTTGAAGGAAGTCACTTAGACCTGAGGGTGGTGAAGCCTCACTGGGCTGTCACTGAGGAACACATGTGACCTGACCAGGACTTCTGTACAGTTCCAACCATAATGTAAGTAGGTGTGCGCACAGTGAGGACAGGACCTTGCCTGACCCCATTGCATCCCCTGGTATCCAACAAGTAAGTGCTCACTGGACTTGGGTCCCAACGTGGCATACCCGTCCTACTCTGTGAGAAGGGGTCAGGGGGAACAGAGTTCCACTCACATGGGGCGTGGAACATGACGAGAACAGAGGAGTGCTCCTTCACAAACTGGTCAAAGTCTTCATCGGTCAGGTGATAAACGGAGCCGCCCTCATCTGCCCAGGGAGTCTCGGGGACCTGGGGCTGTGGCGGCTGCGGACTGGAAGACCAAAAAGAGGCAGAGCTCAGAGCAAGCCCCGGGGCCTGAGCAGCCCTTATAAATCCAGCCCCCTAGACACAAAGCCCCCAGTGGCTCAGCAAGTCCCACTCCACAGGATCAGCCTCTTACAAAGTGGAAGCTGGCCCTGGAGGAGAAGTCATGGGGTGGGAAAAACTGCCCATCTCCACCTTCTCCTGAAAATCTCAGAGTTACTTAGTGGACATCATGGTATAAATAGTGGCTTTTAGCTAGCACTCTCACTTCCCCCCAGGAACTGAGGGGCCTGCTAGCTTTCTCACACTACTGCAAATTGGCAGGAATAAGCAGCCTGGTGAAGGGTGACATCTGCAGAAGCTCACTGTTGAGCTCAGTGCTGCCCACAGGACTGGGGAAGGGAAAAAGGGGAACAGAGGAGAGTCTGGTTAAGTGTATGGGGTGAGAGGGAAGGGGCCAGGGTCTGAGAAAGCCCAAATCTAGATGGGTCAGAAGAAGCTTCCACAGGACAGCGGGAGAGCTCTCACTGACCAGCTGAGGCTTCTAGGACAACAGACTAAAAGCGTCCTACCAGGCAGTATCTGTGGCACCTCACTAACTGACAGTGTCTGTATCACCTCATTAACCATGCCAGAAGCCCAAAACAAAGGATCTGGTTTTCCCAGAGCCCACACCAACTCTTCCACTCATTAGCTAAAAAACCTCAGGTGCCACCTGGTTTCTCAAGAACGTTTCCATTGTGCGGAACCCACTCTGACACCTGTGGCCCACAGTGCTATGGGAGGGAAGTCCCGAAGGCACCCTCCCTTATCCAGGACAAGATGGCTGGTGACAAAAGGTCCCTGCTGCCTTACAGCCAAGCACCACTGCACCTTAACCGCAGCTTTGAAAAGCCCTATAGGATGACAACATTGGAAAGATAACCATTGTTTTGAGCCTGTGAGAGCCTGTAGTGGGAAACATTTTAAAGCCCAGCTGCTGGGGCTGGAGAATTCATGAGCGCCATGGCTCACACAACACCCCCAACCTCAACCCCCCACAACAGATGCTTGGGTTTGGACCCTTTAGAAGCTCTATGTTGGCTCTTCTGACTGGGTCCCACTGGCAGCTTTGACCATCCTGGTCCCAAGAAATGGAACATGGCAGGAAGGTGGCAAACCACCTTGAATATCCAATGTCAGATGGGACTGGTGGCAGAATCAAGCTTTGGAATGAGTCACCAGTCAGACAACCATCTCAGACTATCATGACATCTAGCGTCCTACACTTGAGCTCAACCACTAACCCCTCACACCACTGTTGATACCTCTAGGAATTTGTCTTTACCAAACACCAGCAACCATACAAAGTTATGTGCATTCAAAGGTATATACTGCAGGATATTTGTCACGGCAGAGAATGGAAACAGGCCAGTGTGCACAGGAAGGGGGCAGGTTAGGTACTCTCTGCTGACCATTCCCACATGGAGGGCTATGTGCTGAAGGAAGAACAAGGTCTCTCTACACACCCACATGAAGACTACTAGAGCTGGAAGGATGGTTCTAGAATCTGCTAACTCTTGCATAAAAAAGGGGAGATAAAATATTCATGTTTACTTGTATCTGTATAAAGAAAGATTTTAAGAACATATAAGACATAAGTTGTAATCGTTACCTTTATGGAGTGTGGGAGGAGAATGCAAAGGAGGAGATAGGTGGAAGTAAGATTTCTCAAAGTACACTTCTAAAGTTATGTCAAAATTTTTATTTTATTAATGTAATCTACTTAAAAACAAAATCAAAATAAGGGCCGGTCATGATGGTTTATGCCTATAATCCCAGGTACTTGGGAAGTAGAGATTGGGAGGATGGTAGTTTGAGGTCCGTCAAGGCAAAAAGTTACCAAGACTCCATTTTAATAAATGAGTTGGGCGTGGTACCATACACCAATAATCCCAGCTATGAGGGAGGCATAGGAGGAGGGCTGAGGGCTGAGGCCAGCCCTGGAGAAAGAGCAAGATCCTATGAGAAAAGTAATTAAAGCAGAAAAAGATGTGGCTTAAGTGGTAGAATGGCTGCTTAGCAAAGTATGAGGACCTGAGTTCAAATCCTGGTACTGCAAAATATATAAATAAATAAATAAATAAATAATAAAGATAAAAAATTTGAAATTCAGCAAGAAAATAAATGCAAGATGGAGAAGTAGTGGTTTGGTAGGGGCACAAGCATATGAAAGAACCTGAAAAATTTCTAGTTCAACAGGGAGGAGAATGTACTCTAAAACACTAAAATAACTGTTCAAGAGGTTTTTTTTTTTAATATGAATCCACTGGAGCAAAAAGAACAGGAAACACAAAGCAGGAAAGAGTAAAAGAGGTCATCACAATTTTAGAAGCTAGAAAACCAACTTAGCAAAAACAGGAGGCAGAAACCACGCCTTAAAGCAGGGTTGCAGCCAGGCTGGAAAAGGAAGTGCCATTGGAAACTGAAGCAGTTAGACCCTCAGATCCGGAGAGCACCCACTCCCACCCAGCACAGGGCTAGAGGTTTACTTACTGGAGAGGACTGTGGGAAACAGGGAGAGAGAGCCCAAAGCCCTGAGTTATGCTTTTCACTGTCAGCCTCCCCCTGATGGTGAGCACCCGAAGACTCGGGCTCTCTCTCTATTAACTCTTGCACCTTATACATAGCAAGCACCTAATAAATGTGTGTTGAGTGAATGAATGAGAGAAAAGTGGTTAAAGGAAATTAAGGTGTTTTAATCTGGAGAGGAGAAAACATGAGAGAACACAGTGGCTATCTTCAAACATTTCAGACTCTTTGAAAAAAAGAAATTATGATTTATTTTCTATGGCCCTGAAGATGAGAACCAGTGGAAGGTCCAGAGACAGAAACTTTAGCTTAGTATAAGTAAGACCACTCTATGTACAGCAGGTGAGAGGGACAGAGAGCAGATGTGGAAATGAAAAGACATAGTTGAGTGCTATTCCTCTTCTCATCAGCTCCAGGCCTGCGGCAAGCAGACCTGACTTAACACATCTGCCAGTGTCCTCTGTGTGATTCCTTTTTATCCACCTCTCAGGTTCACCTAGGCTGACAATGACCCCAAGATACTTTGTAAATTTATCAAGTACCACCCAAATGTTCCTAGATAGTCATAACCTATCCTACAAATCATTCCAATATGAGTGGGCAATCTCAAAATGAGGCAAAGGGGACTGAGGGGAATTGCTGGGCCAGTTTGCTGACTCCTCTATGCCCTTCCAGGCCTATTACTGCTGTTACATGCTCTGTGGGTTGAGGAAAGCAGTTATCCCAGGCTTTCTAGAACGGGGAGGGTCACACATTGGCTCCACATCTCAGGGAGTGGTAGAGCACTTACACAAGGCCCTGAGTTCAGTTGCCAGCACTGCAAAAAAAAAAAAAAAAAAATTCCATAGCAAAGATGCACCAAAATGTATTGCTGCATATGTGCCCCTCAGTCTGCCTGCTTAGCCCAACTCACCAGTGTGAGATCTGCCATGAGTGAAGGGACAGGAGGCCATCAGGAGCACAAGGGGGTATAACTGCCATGATGGTGTGAGCCCTGCAGAGCCCTCATGCCCTCAGACACCAGTCCTGCCTCACTCGGTGCCACCCTCTCATCACTAATTGGAGGGTGAGATGGATGTTTTTCTCTCCTGGAGTTCCATTATGTCATCCAAAGAATCATCCAGGCCAGATGCACCCTCATCCTTCCACAGTTAGCTGCATGTAAGCCCTGAGCAGCTATGGGCTAACAGAGGGGCCCAGGGCAGCAGGAAAGGTGGGATCACTACTACTCTCTGGGATTTGGGAGGAAATGGTAGACTTAAAATGATTTAGATGGGGAAAAGCCACACGTGGTGCTGGATATACAGAGGAAACACCTAGAAGGAAATTCCCCAAAATGTCATGTTATCTTTGGATAGCAGGGTGGGGGAAGGCTTTTTCTTTCGCCACATTTAAAAGTTTTTCTGTAATAAATACATCTCACTTGAATATCCCTAAAATCAGAAAAGACTTAAAAAAATTAAGCCAGTTGGTAGCACAGTGACATCACTAGCTATTGTTGGGGCATCAAGTCAGGCAGCTCATTAGATGTCCCTTAAGAGGTGGCCTCCCTGTCCCTGCCCTGTGGGGGAGTAGGCTGCAGCACAACCCAATACTGAGTGCTTACTCCTGGTAGGACAAAGCAGCATGCAAGTCCCTCCTCATCTCCCTTCTTATCCTGGAGACTATGGATCCACCCCAGGCTAACAGGGGCTCCTTCCCACTGGTGAGAGGAGAGAGGAAGTGGGAAATGGGGAGGCACGGCACAGGACAGAACTCCACAGGCAGGAAGCCCAGGGTTCGGGCAGGCCAGAACAAGGTGAATGGGGGTGGGGAGCAGTGGGGTATAGAAAGGGGAGGGCTGGGAGGATGGGGTGACAGGCTCTAGTGGGGAGATAATAACCTGTCACTAAAACTCCATTGCCATGTTCCCCTTGTCTAGGGCTAGCAGGCAATTCTGAACACTTTTTTTTTTTTTTTCAAACACCAAACCTTATCCTTCTAAAAAGATATGAGGGGTGTTTTGAAAGCAAAAAATGTTAGAAAAGGGGAAGGGAAGCAGACAGATTTTATGCTCTGGTGACAAATGAGATTGCTATTTGTTGAAACCTTCCCCCAAAGCAGAGCGAGGTATGTCTGACTGGAGGAGAGGACAACGCTTATTATCAAATGAGAAAGGAAAACAGGAAAGCGAAGGCCCAGGTTAAGACAATGAATACATGATAATGGGGAGCAGCCTTCCCAGGCAGGGGCTGAAAATGAGGTAGCCGATGAGGACAGAGATGTGAAAACGCTTCCAAGAAATAAAAGGCGCTACGCAAACACACTGCTGCATTAGCAGTTCCTCTCCCCTGGGAATGGGGAAAACAGAAGACTGAGGTTTTCGACCTTTGGAAATCCAACAGTTTTTTTGTTTTTTTTTATTTTTAAATACAAAATGCACTCTTTTTACCATTTTGAAAATAACATATTCTGAACCTCCATATCTTTGGGTTGCTAGTTCTTTATCCCTAGGGTTTGCACACAGGGTCTCTAAAGGTAAGGATGGCATTAAACATCCACAAGCTAACAACCAGGAAAGGGGTAGGGCTCCAAGCAGAACACAGAGGGGCTGAGCTGGGCTGGGGAGTTGCGGGGAACAGGATCAGGCTGCTGGGCTCAGTGCTGGCCCTGCTACTGCCTATCAGCTCTAAGACTTTGGGCAATCAGCTCTGTCACTGTAACCTCAATCACAGAACAAGGATATCATAACACCGTCTTGACAGCACTGCTGTGAGCACTAAATGGAAGTCCTCATGAAGTGCCTAAAACAGTGTCAGCCACAAAGTAAGAGTCCCAAAACATTAGCTGCTTTATAAATTCCTAGACGTATGCACAAATAACCATGCAGAGCACAGAGTAAGCAGGGCAAACAATCAGTAGGAGATGCCAAGGGGTCCCATAAAGGCACTGGTGAGGTTGTGATGGGTGGGCAGGATCAGTGGGGTTATCAGAAGGACATAGCAGCAGTCTGGCCCAGTGGAGGTTCCAGATGAGGGGGTGGTGCCAGTGGAACAGTGGGATCTGGCATTCTGCAGTTCTAATCACATTATAAAACAGGGCACAGGGTGCCATGAAGCTGGGCCTAGGGGAGGGGGCTAGTGGGTACAGTAAGGCACTCTGCAAGTTTAAGGCATCAGAATGTTTCTAGAGTAGCTTTAGCTTCACAGCACCTAATACAGAGTTGTGTTTAAAATAAATGTTTAAATGATAACTCTAACTTCAGAGAGACCTCCAGTAGAACCTCTCCCAAACCTGATGTCCTGGGTGAGAAATACCTATATCAATCAGATAGATAGTGGTGGAGGAGGGAAGTCAGGGGATTCAATTTGAAATGTGGGAAGATTTCTGAAAACCCTTGACTATTCCAAAAGAACTATCAGGCTTACAAGGCCCCTCCCCAACTTCTGCCCATGCAGAAGAAAGGGAAGGAGACAGACACTGGCCAGGGTCTGGCCAGGTCCCATCATTATAGACCCAGGACTCACCAAATCTTCATGACTCTTGTCACTCCAATAATACAGATCCCACAATGATCTAGACTCCAGGCTGAACCAGCCATGCAGGTAGCGTGTCTCATCTTCCCTTCCTCACTTGTCCCCAGCCCCTGTACTGAGACTGAGGGGCCACCCTCAGCCCAGTTGATGCCCCCTCTGGGTGTACCCAACACAAACACCCGACTTACTTCTTTAGCCATTCCACAATGTCCTCAGCTGTGGACCCATAGTTGTCATACTGGAACAGAAAACGCCCTTTCCTGTGAAATGTGAAGAGACAATGTGGCTCAGCCAGGGACACAAATATACCATCAGGGAGGGAAGCGAGCTCTACAAGGGAAGCAGGGGACTTACTCAAAATAGCAGATGGTAGGATAGCCATGCACGTTGTACTCCTCCTTGATGTTTTCAAATTCAGAAGGGTAGACATTCATCCCGGCCAAAACCTGGGAGGAAGAACAGACTAGTTCACAGCCTGCCCATGTCCATGTACAGCCTAGCCAGGTGTCCCAACAGAAAAGACAGATGGGACAAAACCTCACAGACTGATGTGCAATCAGGGCCACGGGAGAACAAGACTGGCTGAGACAGGAATAAGGATGGAATGTTCTGTAAAGTCAGACTTCTGGGCCCAAGTGTTGCACTCCATACAGCTATTCAATTAAACCTGCCCTGCAGGAAGACCATTACAAGCAAAAGCAAAGTTCTGAGTGCTGAGGAAGAAACGTGGCCTTGCTACCAAGTTCAGGCAGCGCTTGGAGTGGGGCCACAGCCACCCAAACACACACTATGTCCTTTTCTCTGCCTATGTCAACTCAGGCTATACTTGCTCTTTTCCTGAGTTATGGAAATAAGTGGATTGTGGACATCCTGAGTCTCTGTACAAGGTCCTCAGACACCTTCCTGGATACCTCATAGCCTGCCCTCTCAGTCTTCCCCAAGGCCTGAGGCATGACATTCTCAGTTCTCACAGTTCAGATATAGCCAAGGTGACTGTGTGGTTCTCATGGTACAATATGACAAATGTGGTGTCTGGGGGCCTGCCTATTTCTCATTCCTCCAGACCTCTGTGCCTCCCCAACTCTTTCTTCCTATTTGTGACCACTGTCCTCATCCTGGTTTGATCAAAATCATAGAAGTTTGACCAAGTTCTAGCTCCAGGAGCTCATGTGACCAGCACCCCCTGAATTGGAAAGAAGAATTTTAATGCCTGTGTTACTAATACATGGCTAAATACTAAGAACAACCCAAAAAACAACATCCTTACAGATTCTTTCCCACAACAGGTACCTTCTTCTCTAGGGCTGGATCAAGCATCAGGACTTTGAATCTGTTCTCATGAGAGAATGTCACTAGAACGGCCAGACATGGGAAAGCTGCCCCACAGAACAGGATGGTATAGAGGTAAGGGGAAAGGAAGTTCCAAAAAGCAGTTAGAGTGGCAGAGAAAAAGAAGGCCAGGATGCTAAATCTCACCATTTTCTATGCATAAGGACACATGGAAAAGAAAAAGGGAAACAGTGGTTTCAGTGGCCAATGAACTTGATCCAGAAGATTGCTTCCTCTTGTGAGTCATGTGGCCTTGGGCAAGTCACTCACCCTCACATTGAAGGTGCTTTATTTGGAATGTGTGGGTGATGAGACTATCACAGAGCTCTTAAGAGAAGGCCCAGGTCAAAGGTTTCAAGCACAAAACTGATGCTCAGTAAGTGTCAAGATCTTTGTTTCCTACCAAGACTTTCTAGTGATTGAGTCACTTGTGCCTTTGGCCTCTCCATCTCCAAGGGCGTCTGAATATGTCTTTCCAACTGTTTTAAGTACCTAGCACAGTGCCTGGCATATAGCAGGCACATAATAAATGCTTACTAAATTACCAGGACTCTCTCCAGCCCATCTTGGAATGCTACAAAGAAAACAGGGAGAATAAGCCTGAAACAGAACTTAGTAGGAGCCCTGAGCTCTTTAAAAGCCATTCTGTTCATTTCTCAAATTGATTCAGCCTGTTCCAGTAATATTTGTCTACTTTAAAGATCTTTTTTTCTGTCTAATTGATCTCTCTTGTGTCAGTGCACATTCACCACAAGATTAATCGTACACGTCCTCCTCTTTCATCACTTCCCTGCACCAAAGCTTCCAATTCCACTGAATACAGGCTAAAATCCAACTCCATACTCAGCACATATGGTTTCTGATTCGTTTCTGAATCCTTCTTTCTTACAAAATGTAGTTGTACACCTGCTAGGGTGTGGATTTTGCAATCTCCTGAGGAGACAGTCTGAGATTCACAGGAAGGAAGCTGGACCGTCCGCCTTCTCAGACACCCTTCTCAGCACACAGCAGCATCCCACAGTGGCTAGGTGTGTGGGCTCAGGGCTCAGAACTCAGGACGCCTGGCTGCAGTCCTGACTCCCCACTTAGCAGATATATTTCTTAGCTAGTTACAGGTGTACCTCAGTTTTCTCATCTGTAGACATCCCATGTGTTTGTGGTGAAGATTAAATGAGGTAATATAAGTAAAGCCTCTTTAACACTCAAAACGAATTAGCCATTTTTGTAGATACTAAGCGGCCCTCTAATGCTGCCCACATGTGCAGAAAACACATTGTCTTTGCCTTACTCCCACTTTGTGCCTTTGGTCCCCTTGCTGAGGATGCTTACTCACCACTGCTTAGCTACCACAAAAGATTCATTCATCCTTTAATACACATCGTATCTTCCATAGGTAGCCTTTCCAAACCTTTGTCTGGGCTGATGCTTACCCCTAAATAAACATGTGTGCATGAGGTTGTGCAGTTGGTAGGTCTAACATGCTCGTCACATCCAATCCTTGCCCCGGGAGCAATCATGGAAATGGCTAGCATATGAGCTACTGCTCAGAGAAGGGTCAGATTCCCACAGAAACCCCAGAAGGAGAAATGGAAGCAAGCCTTAGCAAGATGTGGCCCAAGAGATGGAGAACATTTCTATCTAACTGGACTGTGGAATACACAGAAAGCAGAAGCAAGACTAAGTGAGTTAGCTGGGATCACTTTAGAGAAGGCCTGAACTACCTATGAAATTGGGGCTCTATTCAGGAAGTGACAGAGAGCTACTGAGGTCTAAGTAAGACAGCAACCACAACCTGCAGCATTGTTTTGAAGTACAGTTACCGCTCTGCATTCATAGTTGCCCCTCTGGATCCCCTCTCAGGACACCAAAATCCTTGAATGCTAAAGTCTCTAATATAAAATGGAGTAGTATTTGCATATAACCTACACACATTCTCCCATATGCTTTAAATCATCTATTACTTAATACATAATACAATGTAAATGCTACATACATAGTTGCAATAGTATATTGTTTAGAGAATAAGAAAAGATCTACACATGTTTAATACAGAAGAAATTTGTTTTCCAAATATTTTTGATCTACTGTTGGCTGAATACACAGATACAAAATCCAAGAATATGCAGGGCCAACTACATAAAGGACAGGGTGCAAGGTGAAAGTTACAGATTGGGGCAGCAAGTCAGTAGCCTTTGACGATCAGCTAGTGTACCTAACCAGAGCCTAGCCCAGGATGGTGGGCAGGGGAAAGGTGAGGGGTGAGAGGAGATGTTCAAAGAGGCCCTGGCATGGGACGTGTTGGTGGAGGAGCCTGGGCGACTCAGCAAGGGGCCTGAAGGAAAGCTGGTGTCTGCCAGATGGAGAAATGCTGAGTTTTATTTTAGACATCTTGCATTTGGGACATGGGGAAAAACCCAGGCTGAGATGTCAAGCAAGCTGTCAGACATGTGGCACTGGAGCTTAGGAGAAGAATTCAGGCTCTCCAGAACTTTATTTTGCTGAAGCTATGGACATAGATAAGATCACTGAGGGACAGGTTGTAACAAGACAAGAAAGCACAGTCCAGGCCCATGCTCCATGTGCTAAAAAGAGAAAGTAGAGCCTCGGGAGCACCCCCACTTTGTGAGTGGGAGGACTAGGTAAGGGAAATTGGGAGGAGGGTCTGTCATCTGTGTCTGCCAAGTGCTCTGTAAATTACACATTTGTTCCTCATGACAACCCAGTGAGGGGTGCAGGGCTGGCATTACCATCCCCATTTCACAGATGGAACAATGGAGGGAGGCTCCAAGGCTAAGTAGCTTGTCTGAGAACTCCCAGCCAATTAGTGAGAGCCAGCACCAAAGCACAACCTGCAAAAACCTGTCACCACAATAGTTGTTTCAGTGTTACACCCAGACTAGACCATTATGGCTAAGGTTAGCAAGAGGCTGGGCAAAGCTCAGAGGCCTAGTGTGGAGTGGATAACAGCAAAGCTGGGAAGAGAAGGCAGATGGAGATAGGGAGACTCGTTTTGATGGCTGCTGAGACAAAGAACAGCTTGGCCGCTGACAAGGATGTCAATTAGCAAGCAGTAGGGAGAAGAGACACTGATGAATCACCAGACATCAATGACAGTCCAAAGAGGCAGATCTGAGTTTGGAAAATGGCAAAGGCCACACATCCCTGACCTGGCTTGGCTCCCTCTGTGACATCATCAGGTTGGACACCTCCCAAGATCTCTTCAGAGAAGGAAAAGTTCTGACCCTAGCCAGCCAAAAAGAGCTCAAAGACAACAGAGATGAAGAGGAGGCAGGGGGCCCCAGGCTGGCTAGATTTCAATGGTGGGGAGGGTGAGCTTTTGATTCCTAGAGAATAGCAGCCCATCTGTCAGTCCTGCTGCGCTCTGTGTGAGAAGATGGAAAACAATCAGCACCTCTGGTCACCCAGCCCTTCCAGCCCTGTCTCCAGCTACTTCATGAGCAGGGCCTTCAGAAGCCGTGCCCTTCCCCCTTTATTTAGTTGGGAAAGGGCTAGAACTTTACAAAAGATGCTTTCCTAAGACACTAAGGGGAAAATGGAACAAAACAAAGCTCATGCAAGAAAAACACAAGCAAGAAAACATGAGCTCACACAATGCAGATGCCCTGGGCACAGGTAATTAACACCCAGCTTCCACTGGGCTGCCTAGGTTCAAAGACAAACCTCCTAACTTTTCTATAATGTCATTGAGGGAACGGGAAGAGGCACCTTTTGCATCTGAAAACAGGGACCTAGATAAGAGAAGCAGTCCTCTGATCACAAGTGCTCTTTAAGGTTAATCTTGTGAAATAGCCTGGTGTGAGGCCTGGACCTAGAAAAAGATCCACCTTCCAGAAACTTTCTTCCCACCATGCCTGCTCTTAATAATTAATGCTCTGGATTCCTTTTAAAGGAAGGAATGTCACTCTACACAAATACAGAGCCTAAAATAAAACATACTCAGGAGTGACAAGCCACACACTCATCTGTGTGTACTGGGTACTTACTGTGAGCTTGGCCGATGCTATGTGCTACAGAAACAGACTTGTCTAGAACACAGCTCCTACACCCAGAAAGCTCACATATCATGAGCAGTATCAAACGGCAAAGTGACATGGAATAAAAACAAAGATAGACAGACCTGGCCATGCATGGCAGAGAAAAGCTCTGCGACAGCAAAGGAGGGCACTGAAGGAATACTGAGTTGGGCAGTTGCACTACTGACTGAGAGTGGTCCATGTCATGTATGTGACTGGCATCAAGTCTTCTTCTGCTTTGATGGGGCCGGCTGGGATAATTTGTATCTAATTTGGGGATGGAGCGATTTATTTTACAGCCTAGAGTTCGGAAGTTGAGCAGTTTTCTAAGTGTATAAGGGCACAGGCAGGGAGAACACAGTAGGCAATTAAGTCTTTTCTCCAGGCTAAATAATTTTAAAATATGGTGTCCACTGCGGCCCCAAAAATATGCAGTGAAACTTCCCCAGAGTGATATATGTGTGCCCCAAAGCCAAATGACTCCAGGCAAGCTACTAAAAATTCATTAGTGGGAAACAAGCAGAACCTTGGTGTTGCTCCAGAATGAGGTCAAAAGAGAAAGCATCGGTTCTTTGCAAGTCAATCTTGCAGGTGGATAGCAAGGGCCATTCCTATGTCCAGGTGCTGCCACTTAGATTTTATAGGTTGGTTTGCGCTAATTACCATTTAATTTGATCCATAACGATCATGATACAGTTTGAAGACCCCAGATCTCCCTCAATGGAACTTGGGTCAATCTTCTGTGAAAGGTTTATGAATTCTTCCATGTTCCTGAGAGGAGCCAGCAGCTATTTTTCAATTATCACCAAAACAAAACACTTCTGCTACTCAGGACAAGTATAAAAATGGACAAATATATGTGTACATACACACACAAAAGAAATCAAAGTGGGATCTTAAAGAGACATTTGCACACCCATGTTCAAAGCAGCATTGTTCACAATAGGTAAGAATTATTCAAATGTCCATCAGCAGGTGATTGGATAGAGAAGACATGGGACACATACACAGTGGAATATTATTCAGCCTTAATAAAGACGGAAATCCTGCCCCATGATACAACACAGATGAACCTGGAGGATATTGCTAAACAAAATAAGCCAATCACAAAAGGACAAACATGGTATGATTCTACTCTTATGAGGGTTCCAAAATTGTCAAAATCACAGAAACAAAGTAGAAAGTTGTTTATCAAAGGTGGGGGTGGGGAGTGAAGGGAAAACTCATTTGCAGATTTTTACAGATTTTCAGTTAAGATAAAAAGGCCTGGAGATCTGTTTCACAATAATGTAAATATACTTAGCACTACTGAACCATATGCTTAAAAATGGCTGAGATGGTCAGTGTAGTAGTAGTATGTGTTCCTGCCACAGTTTAAAAAGGGAACAGACATATGGCAGAGAAGAAAAGGCCTGGCAGGATGGAGGAAATACAGACAGCAGGGAGTCCTGCCTCTGTGCACCATTCCACTTGCTTGGACTTCTCTGGAGGCCCATTTCCTCAGTGGCTCTTCTTCCTCCTCCTGTCCCCTCAAGATGCACGTTCCTAGGACACACCTGTCCTCCTCTCTGCCTTCCCCTATTTTTCCCCCTCCCTCATTCAGGGATTGCCTGCATTCTCAGCTCTGCAGTTCCCTGGGAGGGTTTTTGGTCTTTCTGCTTTGCTTTTCTACCTCTTCCTGGCCTATAGGAATACAGTGCAGGGGGGAGTCTGGGCCTAATGGCCTCTGTGAACTTCCTCTGCTTTTCTTCCAGTCCAACCCTTGTGTGACTGCCTTGCCACTGGGTCCCCCATCAATTGCCTCATCCATTTGGGAGCTTGGCCCCAACCCAACCCTGGCTGTTTTGCCCTTGATCCCTGACCTCTGAGCAGTACCACCTTTGGTTTGTTGGTTTCCTGACTATTTTATCTCTGACCTCTGACAGAGGTCAAACTCTCTGTCCCAGCAAGTCTATGGAATTAGTACTCCATCTTTATGGAGAACAGTCTCTGAGCCAAAGCATGGCTTTGTTTTAAGGAACTGCCTGGACAGGAAGGTGGTGCCTTCCCATTTCAAAACCTGCCCTCCCACCTTGCCCCCAGCATTCTTCTCCACGAAGACTGAGAGCCACCCAGCCCTGATGGCCCATGACGCCTCACTTACGAAGTGGCCTCGCAGCTGGGTTGCGGCCTTCTGGAAATGAGGCATTATCCTCTTGCACATGCTGCACCCTGGTCACAAGCAGAAGAAAAACCAAACCCAGTTACAGTGATGGCAGCCCTGCAACAAGCCCTTTCTCCCCGATGCTGTTCTCTACCCACAAACATGTATTCAGCCCAGGGAGCTCAAGACTATCCTGGACCCTGGGAACCTGAAAGGAATAGGAGGCAAAGGTCCCAGCCCCCAGGGAGCTGATAGTCTCTGCTGGACAGAGCCCAACAGTCTCTCCATGAATGTTAGACTGAATAAGGAAACATGCCACAAGCAGAAGGGCAAAGCCCAGAATGAAACTGCTGCTGACCAGCTCAACAGGAATTTAGGGAGCCAGGACAGATGTGGGAGAACAACCTCCTGTGTGCACAGCTAGAAGCCGCCCTCACCAAGGACTGCAAATGAACCTGAGTCAAATGCCACAAGGAAGGAAAATTTGTGACCATAAATACAATGACTTTTGGGATTTTCATGCCTTTTTTTCTCTTCCATTAATAAGGATAATTAAGCAATCACTGAGGCAGGCCGAGTGTGCAAGGTGCTGGCTCTGGCAGCTGGGAAGAGCACCAGGCCAGCACTCAGATGCAGGCACTAACCTTCCTTCCCTTGATCTGGCTAAGTCACCTCCTCTTTCTGGGATGTTTCTTCTTCTGGCAAATGAGGGAGGAGTGGGGTGGAGTACAAAACCCCAGGCCTTTCCAGCTCTGAAATCTGGGGTTTCTGCAGTTCACATGGCCACATTCCTCTTTTGGGATGGTGATACTCCTCTGCTTCCTCCTCCCAGCCTTGGGGGACTCAAGGTCAGGCAGGCCAAACCCTAAAAATCGACTACTACTTCAGAGTGAACTTGATTTAAACCCAACCAAGGCAAGCCATGTTTCTGCGCTGACTCCACTGGACATGAGAATGAGTTTCTTCAGCTACCAGAATTCTGACATGCCAGGTTGTCATCCTTTTTGACAGCTCCTCTGTGCAAAACAGGCATTGAGGCATCTGATGGCCACAAAAACCAGAGCTGCCTAGAACCAGGCTGTCAGGCTGGTTCTCATCTCAACTGAGCAGAGTGAGGCCACAGCCCATGTGGCAGCAGGCTAACAAGCTCTAATCCATGTTGAGCCACCACCCTGGCAGTCTGTGAGCAAATAATCCATATCAGAGGGGCCTCTCACCCTTTGGAGAAGATACAGACACTGGAGAATTGGGAGGAGGTCCAAACTCCTCCCAGGCCACCTAAATCTCTCTGGCACAAAGTCTACTGGTCCCCAAAATGCCCCTCCCCAACATTCCTGGTGACAGACAGATAGACACGCATACATGCCACAGCACATGAGCCCTGGGTTTAAGTTCCTGCCATCAGTCTGGGCTTTCACTCAGGAGAGGCAGGAGAGCAGAAGCTGTGCACAGCACCTGCCCTAGAAGATGAGAAGCTCTCCTCAGGGACATAGACACCACTAGTGACACAGGTAGGGACATTGTTCCCACTGTGGAGTGTCACAGAGTTAAACGGAAACTGGGACAATGCTTCAGTGGGAATGCACAGTGGGTTACCCACAGGAAGGAAAATGGGAGGCTGCACAGCACAGAGAAAGCTTGGCTCCGAGGAATGAGACCCTCACTTCATCTGCCCTTGGCCCTTGCTGGCTGTGGCACCCTGGGCAAGTGACTTAGGCTGTATGAGCCTCAGTGTTCCTGTCTATATAATGGAGATAGCACTTGACCTGCAGGACCAGGAAGGCAGGCAAAACCTGGCCCTCAGCAAGGGATGCCTACCAACTGGGAGATATCTCAGTGCAGCACAAGGCCTGAGAGTTGCCTCCCTGTCCTCAGGAAGTAAGGGTACACATGCTGCCTCTCCCCTGCGTCACTACCTCTTCACTCAGTGAATTTAGTGTGATGTCCACTGGGCCAGCACAAGCTTAACTATCACCTGTCTCCACAGGTGTGGCCTCTCCTCCAGCTCTGTGGCAATATTGCCCATCCTCCTTGCCAAATAGGTGACAGGCCAACTGTCCCCAGGGGTGGAGGCCAGCAGTTCTGGTGGAAAAAAAAATCACTGGGGGAAGAAGAGGAGTATTAGGAAGCTATAGGCCCAGCCAGTTTCCAATTTAATGTTACTGAAAATAGAGTGGATACTCTGAGTCCTATCTGAGTTTATCTTTCAGTGGATTCAACTGGGAGGCAGGGGAAGAGGTAAGATTAATTATCACTCTCAAGCCCCAAAGTGAAAGCAGTCAGGCTTTTTAATTCAAAGAACAAACATTTACTGAGCAAGCAGCAGGGCCTGGGGACCCAGATGCCATGTCACAACTAAAGGCTCCCAGTGCTTCTGGGTTCATGCACCCAACACATGATCATAGACATCCTAACAGATGTCCTGGTTAGAGAATTGTTGTGTATCTCAGGAGCGAGCTGAATTATGAGGCCCTGGAGGCTGTGCTAGACTAGTTTAATAAAAGCACGAGTTTGTTTCATTAAACACACACACATAACAAAAAGAATCCAAGGTCCTAGGACCTTGGAAGCCACCCAATCCGACCCTCCATGGGAAGTTTAACTTAGCAACTCTGTTTTCTCTTCCTCTCCTATCACTAACACACCCTGTGTTAGGAACCCTGCAAGGTTCCTAACTTCCCCAGCCCCAGCTTTCTATTATATAAAGATGATCCCTCTGCTCACATAGTTGCTGCAATGAATAAGGCAGGCACACTGCCGGGCAGCCTGGGAGAGTGGGTGGGGGAGATGGTACAAAGATTAGGTGCAAACCGCTACTGAACCACTCTTTTAAAATGATTAATGTCATTACAAAGAAACCTGCATGGCTGTACCATGATCCTGCCTGGTAACATGCACTGCCTACTGACACACACTCCCTGTTTTACATTTTCATTTCACCAATGTGTTGCATTCTGAAGGGTTCAGAGATAAAACAAACGAGTCCCTGCTCCTCCTAGGATGGTTAAGGCAGGGTACTCCTGAAGCAATTCATGGCTGGGCAGTTAATAAGATCCTTCCAAGAAGAAAGAGGAAAGGGTGAGACCAACTAATGAACATTAATAAAGAGAATGAACCAGGGTGAAAGTACAGGCCATTCTGGACGGAGCAAGAGCTACAGGCAGTAGAGAGGAGGTTAGGGCTGGGGAGTCTACTGACATGGTGAACAAGCTACAGGCCACATTGGGCAGAATCGACAGAACTCAGAGGAGCACCCAGCAAGTGAGGGTTATCACCATCACCAGAGTGCACAGGTAAAGGGCCTCAGCTTAAAGAATTTCTCAGAAAGGGGGATGTTGATGGGCTTTCAAGAGTAATCAAAGTCAGGCGCCAGTGGCTCTATAATCTTAGCTACTTGAGAGGCTGAGATTGGGAGGACTGTGGCTCGAGGCCAGCCCAGGAAAAGTTTGCAAGACCCTCATCTCCAAAATAACCAGAGAAAAATGGACTGGAGTGGTAGAGCATGTGCTTTACAGGTATGAAGCCCTGAGTTTAAACATCAGTTACACAAAAAATAAATAAATAAACAGAAGCCTGGCACTAGAGCCTGTGACATCCACCTATGCCACACTCATACCTGGGCACGCCTACCTTCTACAACTAACAGTCCTTCTCTTTCTTCAGCCATGCAGACAGGGGCACCTCTGGCTTCTTGAAGGGCACGTGTAGTCCCTAGACTTGGCTCAAAGGGCCTTTACTAGGCTTTAATCACACTGTGACTTGGGACGCATGAGACTGCAAGGGTGGCCCAACAGGGATTACTTGTGACTGTCTCTGTCACAACTACTTAATCTGCTGTTATAGCTTGAAAGCAGCTACAGACAACATGTCAATGTACAGACATGGCTGTGTTCCAATAAAACTTTATTTATAAAAACAGTGGCCACCATGGGCCATAGTTTATTGATCCTGTATTACAGACTTATAAAGCAGTACACATAGCTGATAATTTTTCAATAAAACAGAAAATAAAATATTGTACATTATATCTGGTAGAGCAGATGACAAGTATGGCTTTCTAAAACTTTAACTTCATCTTATCAATGTGTAATTTATATACAGTTATAGTACTAGATTGCAATATTTGGTTTGTTTTTTGAGACAGGGTCTTGCTAGGTAACCAGGCTGGCCTCAAATTCTTGATCTTATCTCAGCCTCTCAAGTGCTGGGATAAGGTATGTGCCACCATGCCTGGAAATAAAAAAATATTTTCAATTCTGTGAAATGTAGCTAAAAGTGTGAAAGCCACTGCTCTGATCCGACCCCTTCTCTTACAGGTGTGGAAATGGACCCAGAGACGTGGACAACTTGGCCAAGCTCACCCAGCTTGCTGGTGGCACAGATGGACTTAGAATTCAGGTCTTGAGGGTACCACCTCAGGGTCCTTCTGCCATCCCCCATGGCCTCTGGCCTCATACAGGGACAGAGCCCAAATCCTAGGGCCCCATTTCTCTTCTGGACTTCTGCCTTCCCAGGTAGTACCAACAGATGAAGAGCCAATGCTGGAGAGGTGGTGCCTCCCCCACCACCCGAGGCAGGCAGGCTCTGGATGGCAAGGAGCAGCGGGCCCAAGGGGTGACACAGCAACAGCACCAGAGTGCATCTGAGATTGAGAGCACATGGGTCTGTGGTCCCACAGGAGGCAGAGGGGTGGGAAGGCAGAGCCTTTCCAGAAGACCACAGAGTGTCCAGTGTGAAGAGGGCAGAAGGCTGCTGACTCTAGTGGAGAGCAAATGAGGACAGCGGACAGCAGGAAGCAGGGAGCCAGATGGAAAGGTTAAGAGAAGAGGTACGGATGGAGCGATGGAATAAGAGGCCAGACCTCGCTTCCAGATGGCCCTGGGAAACCCCAGCTGCCTACCACTTGTAGAGACTAAATGATGGACTTAGGCCCAAAGGAGAATGTTCACTCACAAGGGGCATAAAACATCATGAGGAGCGGCTTCTCTTCCTTCTTCAGGAGTCGTCTGAAGTCCTGTGACACAAAGAGACATGATTCCATCAGTTCACACACAATGTGATAAATCCCCCTGCCCCAGTACCTACAGCAGCGGAATACACAGCGGGGAGCACCCCAGAATTCACAAGGTGTCTAGTCACAGCACATCAGATGCTGAAGAACCTCAGAGCTGGTTATTCGAGACTACCCTGCATATTACAGAGTGGGAAACTAAGGCCATAAGGGGACACATGGCTTTTCCAAGTCCAACTGGTGAGATATAATAGCCAGGACCAGCCACTAGATGTACTTCTAGTCCTCTGCCCCTTCATGTGATTTTGGGAGTGGTTCTATTGTGGTGAGGGTAGCTGTTTTCATGAATTTCCAGCTTGGTCAGATGGGGATCTGATAGTTGAGGTAACAGGGAGTTAATCCTGGCCCACTAATCTCTTTCTCAGCTCTGGCCCTACCACCACCATTCCAGTCCCAGACCCACTGTGTGTACAAGGGCATAAAAATGAGGCCTGCCTGGCCCTCCAGGAGGTTACAAGCTAAAGAGATCATTTGTATTTGTAAAACTCTTAGATCAAAGCCTGGAACATTACTAGACAATGCATAATGACTTGTTAAATAAATACAATAAATGTAAAAAGACAAATGGTCATAGCAATGTTAATGTAGAGGCTTAAGCAGGACAGAGACTTTTCTTCCAATGAGAGCTAGTGATGGATGAGAAACAGCAAATCCATCAAGGGCTGCAGTGAAGCACCAAGACAGGGCATATTTTGATTAACATAAGCTCTTCTAACCAGTTTTCACAGAAGAAAATTATGGGTTTTTCTCTTTTGAATAATAAGGAGAATAAGAGAAATTTCAAAATGCAACTTTCTGACAACAGCAAGGCATTAGGTAAATAAATGATGGCAGATCCTGCACAATGGAATACTATTGCAGCATTAAAAACAGTGGAGAGGAATACTTAGTGTCACAATAAGATGTGCATGTTACATTAAGTGTGAGGGAAGCAAGTTACAAAACAGCATATACAATATAATGACGTCTTAGTGAGTAAAAATATGTACGCATTATGTTAAAAACCTCAAAGGCTACAAAAATATCAGCTGTGGGTATCTCTCAATGAAAAGAATAATTTGTGGTTTTCTTTTATGCTATATATTTTCTAAATTTTCAACAATGAATGTGTATTACTTAAAATTATTCAGCTAAATAAAAAGGATAATTTTTGTAGGTATCTAAAATATTTTATAATAAATCCTGAAAAAGTTTACTCTTATTTATGTAACTAGAGGGTACAGGAACTCATTTTAAAACAGAATTAGTAACTAAGTGTCAACCTAAATAGTAACCAGAGAGGCACTTTAAAAAATCATAATACTTATGTGGGAGTAAGCAAGGAGGATTGTAATGTCGACTCTACCAGCCATGGAAACCTTTAAGGGTAAAATGAAGACTATATAACTTCTTTTGACCTAATAATCCTTGGCCACAAGGATTAGTAACAAGGGTGTACAGGGTGGATAACAAGGTTGAACAGTGTTTGGACAGACAGTGACAGACAGCTTCCAGAAGTGTTCCTTGTGTAAAGTCGTGGCAGACTTTTGTGCAAGCTTGTGGTTCTGGCAGAGTCATTGTGACTTGTTCTTATTATCAGGCATATGCACAGAGATCCCTTCCTTCATAAACTCACAGCTTTATTTTATTTTTAATTTTCTTGTTAAGTCTTAACACAAGATTCTCCATTTTGATTCTGATAACTTTCACACAGATATTTGATCCTAACTGGGGAAAAAGGATGCAAACACTTTGAAAATTATCTTCTGGGTACTCTGGAGATAAAACCCAGTTAAAGATCTGAGGAGAGTGGGCGCCAGTGGCTCATGCCTGTAATCCTAGCTACTCAGGAGGCAGAGAACAAGAGGATTGCGGTTCGAAGCCAGCCCGGGCAAATAGTTTATAAGACCCTATCTCAAAAAACCCTTAACAGAAATAGGGCTCTGGAGTGGCTCAAGGTGAAGGCCCTGAGTTAAAGCCTCAGTACCGCAAAAAAAAAAAAAAAAATTTTTAAAAAGATAAAAGGTTTTATGGAGTCTGCCACAATTTGGATTCATATCTTGAGTAGTAACAAATATTACAAGCAAAGATGCTTAATTACTTTCACAAATATGGAATTCTAAGCCTAGAAATTGAATCAATATTTAATCTAGAACTTTCAGTTATTTTGTGTGGGGATTCAAGCAGCAGAAAAACAGCTATACCTTGTATTCCTGCATGACAGAAAAAAAAAGCACAAAGAATAGCAACAGAATTACCAGTAGGTAAGGAAAATATTTCTGCATAACATTCCTGCAGTTATGGAAGAACGGCTTCAGGAAGTTCAGGATGTGACACTGGGGGTAGGGAGGTGCCAGGAAGATAAAATTTTATCATCAAAGGAACAACAATCATTTGGGCTCTCTGCTTTTTTCATGGCTCTAGGCACCCATGCCACCTTCTCTTGACACTTACTCCCTTCCCCTTCTAGTTGACACTTTCTATCCTAGAGAATGTGAACACCCAACCCCTTAAACTGAATCACAATAGACTGACCTCCTTGGGTGGCCCACAAAGATTACAAATAATCCCTCCTCTAGAAAGTAAGAAAGTCATCATTTCCTTTTAGACTAATAGATCAGTAAGTAGTTTTAAATGAATAGGGAGAACAAGGGAACAACAACAACAAAAACAAATGAAAAGGCAGAGGAGGCAGAGGAAGATAAATGCTATGCTTTGTTTCATTAAGACAAAAATAAGCAATCTCCCTACATCTCCACAAAAGCAATGCTTGCCTCACAGGCCACGTGACATGTAAGAGAAGACCTGGTACATCCCTATGAAAAGGCACAGCTATGCAAACTAGTCTGAGTGGCAGAAGAGGCACATTCAGGTCAGGTGGAGCAGGCTGTGGAGGGAGGGGCAGGTTGGTCACAGCTTTGGCTAAATATTAGAAAAACTAATGCAGACTATAGGCCAGATTCACCCATCCACTCCTCATGACTGGCCAACTCTGAAAATTAAAGCTAAGAGGATAAAGATTTTGTTCACAATTACACAATGACTCAAAAAAATGTAAAGTCAATGCCACCAACATATGGATTATATAGTAAGGGGAGAACATTTAAATCTATACTTTTATAAGGAAAATCCAAACATGTTAAAACATATTAAATAAAAGAGTGGAGAATGGAGAACAAGTTCAGGCAGTCACCTGTGATCTCCTATTAGTTACATCATGGAGTTGGGAAAAGGAATCAAATATTAGGGTCCTAGCCTAGTTCCCCTGGGGGAATAGTTCCGTGGGCTCCTCTCCTTGGAAGGCCCAGATACCAGGAAAGGATCCAACATCTACAAGCACTGATGGGGAAAAAATTACCTTTTCACTATCAATGTGGACAACATCTTTGGCTCCAGGATCTTCCTCCCACAGTGGGGGACCTTTAGGATCTTTCAGAAAGGCCACTATAGACTGAGGAAAAAAGAAAGAAGAGAAAAATGCATTTTTAGCCAGGAAAATGGGAGGTAGAGGAATCAGGTACCTTCCTTGTTTTCCTGCCTGGTCACCGAGGTACACCAAGTGTCAGACATGGGATGCGACATGTGGTACATGCTTATAGGGTGAGCTATCTCCACTGTCCATGGATATCACCACTAAGTGCCCCCAAATGCACTTGTACCACTCACACTAGGCTTTTTCAATCACATGACACCTCACTGTTCAGCTGATCCATACTTATTATGTTTTCGTGGATAAAGAGAAAATGAGACAATGAGCTAGCTTATTCAAACCAGAGACTTCCTAGTGCTTCCACTAAATCTTATTTCCTCCAAGAAGCCTTTCTGACCAACTGAATAAAGACCTCCAGACTTGTACAAAGTGGATACTTCCTCATATCTATGGCCATTAAAACTGTCAATCCCATAAGCAGATAATCACACTACTTATTTCCTGCTGGGTACTTCACAATCTGCACAGGTTGTGTGTTAGATCCTGATTATGCTCAGTGGGGGCTGGAAAGCCCCAGTGCAAGCTGTTCACCAACATGGCCTGGTGCATTGTTGCTATACTTCTCTTCCTGAAGGCCTCCCTTCTAGACCCACAGAAAGAAGCTAAAGGGCTTGGCTGGCCTTTATTATGCAGACCATTGACTCAAATCTCCACTTCTTTTGGGGTAGACACATGGTGGACAGGGGAAAGGGACACTATCTCTTCATTTCTCTCCCTGTCCCACTTACAGCACTTCACCACTATGGACAGAAACAGCATTCTCCTTCTTGTTAATCTCTTGGAAAATGGTGCTCAAAGTCTGTGAGAGCCAGGGAGGGGTGAGAGAAAGCAGTCACGCCCCCTCCCACACACCCTGGAGGACAGTTGTGGCCTCTGTGTCAAAGCATGGAATCTTCCATGTCACAAATTTGATGAAGCAAAATTCTGTCATTTCTGTCAACTTTGATCAAGCTCCAGGGAGCAGATGCTGAACTGTGTGTGTGTGTGTGTGTGTGTGTGTGTGTGTGTGTGTGTGTGTGTAGGGAGAGTGGAAGGGAGAGCTGAGGGAGAAGGGAAACACCATTTTGTATGTTCAGCCCATCCACTAATCATCACACAGAGAGGACCTTGGTGAGGATTATCATTTCTGAAATCTCCTATTTGGAAGGAACTACTATGGGAATATGGGAAACAGCCAAGCATTTACAGAGTCTCCTTCAGATTGTGCTTTCTATCTATCCAAATGGAACTGTGGAGTACCTCCTGATAAGGGAAAAAACAGTCATTGGTGCCACAGCAGAAGGCAGATCTACCTTTGTCCACATCCTTTGTCAACATTTCACCAGAACAACATAAGCCCAAATGGAATGGGCAGCAACTCTGTAAGCTCATACTCACCCACACAGCTGCAGAGGGGCCTGCCCACCTGGCACATGAGAGAGATGCTACTGGGTGCCCCCTCCCTGTTGTTCCAGAAAGGCTTGCTGTAGGGGTTTCTCAATCTAGGGCATACAATAGACTCCAGAAGTCTGAGAAACCCCAAACTCATAGACAAATGGGGTACTTTGCTATATGCACATGTGCTATTTTGGGGGAGAAGGACTCTATTTAGTAGACTATTAATGGGATTGGGAACCTATGATAGGTTAGGAGCTGCTGCTCTGGGGGGACAGGCATCCTGTCCCCATATCCAGCATGAGCTAAGTAAGCACTAGAGTTCATACAGCTTCCTCGCCCCCACCTCCACCCAGCACTAAGAAACAAGATGACAAGAATGGAAAAAAGAAAGAAAAGATCTCTTTTAATGTAACATTAGAACAGTCATCCTTGCACCCTTCTGTGGTCCAGGTGAGGATTATTCTCATTTAACTGAAGCTGAATAATCCTATCTAGAGGTTCTCTGCAAGTTGGTCTAACTGAACAAGGCCCTGGATAAAATGTCTGAGAGGAGCAGTGCCTGGGAGCCACCCTCAGCCATCTAGGCTTGCAGGTACCTCTGGTCCTCACCACTTACAAAAAGACTTTGAGGGGAGCGGGGGAACAGACAAGCAGAAGGCTGCATCCACAGGGAGTTCCCTTTGAACTTCCTTTTATTTGCAAATGGGAGATGTAATAAGCCCTCTGACCTCCTTAGAGGTTACAGTAGTTCCTGTGACCATCGAACCGTGCAGGATGACATCAGTAACAGCCAGATCATGAGTCTGTAAACCATGTCCCCACCCTGCCAGGGCTCTTCCACCTTTCTATAGACAGGGTCCCAGGAGCACTCTGTAAAGAAAGCTAGTGACAGAGGTGAATGATCTTAGCTGCTCAGGCAGAAAAGAAAGAAGCATCAGACAGTCATGGTAAATGCTTCACCAACTTCCCCCTGCCCTGGAGAAATCTAGTTGTTCTTCCCTAGTCCCTCTGGCCCCTATGCACTTTGGGGACCCTAGGACTATGGCTGCCTGCTCACTGTTTGAAACCAAAGACTATGACCCTGTACAATGCTCAGCCCACTTTTCCAGCTTGTTGACGCAGCAAGGGTAAAAAGAAGCTGCCCCTATTCCACAGGAATGAAACACAGGTGAGGACTCTTTTCCCTTATTAGACACTCAGTGGCAAGCTGGGCCTTAAGGGCTCCTTGTTCTTTCCCTGATACAGAGTTCTCAGCTGCTGCTACTCCTGCTCCATAACCCTAGGACAGATTCCTCTGAGGTTCTGAATAAATACAAAACCAAAACCCAGCCTTTCTTTTTAGTCAATGTATAAGTAATTCCCCTATCCCATCCAACTAAATCTTACTTCTGGAGAGCACATGTTCTCTCTCAAGAAGTAGCTGATGTCATAACACAGAATACAAAGGGTCAAACAACTGTAGTTGGATGAGCTCCTCCAAGTATCTAAGTGGATGCTACGATGGTGAGTAATCAGGCCAAGCCCCTCTATAAGGTAAAAGCTGCAGCAACTTTAAAAAAAAGGAGTTCTTAGTGGGTAAATAAGAAATGACTTGAGGGCTGGTGGAGAGGGATGGATAGAGGGAATGGGGCATTCACAGCTACACAGAGAGTGGACAGACAGGAAGGGACAGAAGGAGACAAAAAGAGAAGAAAAAGATAGGAGTGCAGAGACTAACTCCTGTCTGAGAAGCAGGGGAGTTAGAAAAACTAAGTTCAGCACAGGTTGGAACCAGAAATTTTTTCAGCCAAGGCAGGAAAACGGCACCTGGACCAGAAGCAGAAGACCTGATTTGAGGAAGAGGATGCTGGTATTGAAGGAGTACTGAAGGACAGTTGACAGGCTGAGGGATGGGCAACTGCTCCATGATAACCAGATGGTACCTGTAGATTACAGAATCTCACTTATTTTCATTTACTCTTGCATCTACTTCTAGATTTGGGATGTAGCAGAGAACACTTCAGTGACATCCACATCTCATCTGGAACATGCCACATCAGTCTAAAATGCCAACCTGCCTATGTTTTATACCCCATGCTAACTTGGGCACAGTAGTTTCCCTTTGGCCCACGGGTGGCCACTATGGACACCACCACAGAGATGAGGGGATGGCTTTGAAGCAACAGCAAAAGGAGACCCAGAACCTGTGGAAGAGAGAGGCTATGATGTCACCTGCCCCACTGGACAACTCCTAGACATTTACCAACTTATCTACAGGGCTGGCCCATCCAGCCTTGTAGATAACTGTTAACTGTTAACTGTGTTAACAGTTACAACTGCTGACATAGGCTCTTGAGAGAAGAGTCCTCAGGTCACTTGGGAGACCAATGTGCACTCTGTTCTTCCTTTTCTCAGAGACAACTTGCCAGACTTTGGGTGTCTATCCATCCACCTCTGCTGAAATTGAGGGAGGCAAATTTACCTTGAATGTCATAGCTCGGTTATATTCAGTATGAAATGCACCATCCCTGTCAAACGAGAAAAAGGAGTTAACTTTAACAATGGTTGTGAAGATACATACCTTTGGTTCCCTAAGCATCTTAATAAGACTTAGCTGTTGAACACAGTTCAGGATTTTTTTTAAAAGAAATAATTATAAACATAGAAAAAAATCATTCTGCAATAAAATTAATCTAACTAAAAATTGCTATTCACTGAGAATACCAATAAAAGCTTCCAGCACTTACTTGGAAATTGCAAATGCCCACGTGTACTTACTGGTAATGGAATAATTCAACCTTTTTGTCCTTTGGGCTGAGGTCAACTTTCATCTTCTTGCACAATTTTCTACTCTCTGCGTCACTGGAAGACACAAATGTCGGGAAACATTTGTTACCTGAAGTCCTCACATAGGTGTTGACAGCAAAATCTGCTGGTGGCCTAAGAAATAAGCTGGGTAATCTAGAATTCTCAGCAGCAGATGAGGACCTTATGACAGCGGGCTCTTAGAGAATTAGGGGAAGAATAATAACCAGCAGGATATAGGCTAGTGAAGAGAGATGGGGACAAGCAGATGGTAGAGGATGTGTCACTACTCGTAAGTGGCAACATGCATGGATTCAGACAGAGAAAGTGCCCAGAAAGGGAGGGAGTAGAAAGCTCATGTAAGAAAAATAAACCCCAAGCCAGATGCAATAGTACCTGTAGTCCCAGGTACTTGGGAGGCTGAGGCAGGAGGACTGCTTTAGCACAGGAATTCAAGGCCAGTTTGCACAACAAAGTACGACCCCCATCTCAAAAAAAACCAGAAACCCCAATTCCAGCTTCGCACTGGGGAAGTTTAAAACATACTGTTGCTTCCCTGGCCTTCCCAGACCAGAATCTGGGGTGGGATCCAAGCAAGATTTTGTTTTAAAAGCTCTAATGTGTGCCAACTGCTATAGGCCATCTGACTGGGAAAAGAGGAAAATGTTCTGCCATGTTGAAGAAGTGATGAAATCTGATTGGGTATTGACAAAAGCCAGGAGTAAGGGAACTGTTTCTGTTAAAGGAGCCCCTCCCTTGGCATTGGAGATAGGTTACCTGCACATGTTCTGACAACAAATGTCTGCCAGGGGCCCATACCATTTACAAGGTGCAGCATCTTATCTAACCTTGGTGCCTTTCCTGGTGGACCAGTGGATCTCCAGGTGTGGTCCATGGACCACTGTCACCCAGGGACCCATTAGACAGGCAAAAGTCAGCCCTATCTCAGACCCACTAAATAAAAAACTCTAGGGTATTTGAGCAACTGTGTTGAACAAATCTCCTGGGTGATTCTCAAGTATGGAACCACTGTATGAGATCACCACTCTGCACTGGCTCTTCTTCCCTCCCTACCTCCTTCTATCAGCTCCTCAGAGGCCTTCCTGCTAAAGGCAACCCATCACCTCACATGCACAGAACCCTGCTTGTCACTTCAGGGCTATGTCCCAGACTTGAATGGACTCAGAATATTTCGGCCATCTGGCACCCACAGAACACCACTGACCAATAGTGGCAGTTTCTGAGGGACCTCAGTTCTGCCAGATATGAGAGCCACCTGTGGGAAGCTCCTTCCTCTCCCACCTGTTTATAGACCTTTCCTCTATCCACAGACCCCAGATTCACACAGCTGTGCATGAGACCCAGAACAGATGGACTCATTAAACCACTCAGCTCAATTCTACAAGTAATATCATCAACGGACAAGCAAAATCACAGGCGTTACTTTAAGTGTAAGATACAATTTGCACATCAAGAAGCATGTCTTGATGTGGGTGAAGGCGGTATCACCTTATCACCCTGCTTTCACCTCACCCACATCTACAGGCTTTCCTCCCACTAGTTCCAGCTATCTTAATCACCTCTGCGGCAACTCCAGCTTCCAGCCAAAGGCCTGCCAACAGTGAGGACTCAAGAAATACATGTGAAAGTAGAAAGGTAGGAATAATGGCACTGCAATGGCGCCTCCCTAATATGAAGGACCTGAATACAGGGAGTCCAGGGAGAAGTGATAAGCTGGCGATGAGGAGGACAGACATACCAGAAGGCAGCCCACCGCATGTGGTTGCTGGAAACTTTGTTGTCCTAAAGCCCTCTGGGGGATACCACACCTACCTCTTGGTTTGAGCTTATCCTGTCCCTCAGGGGCTCTGTGGTGAAGCTGCACAGCCAGGGGTTGATTTGTTTGAAAACAACTGTGGAGGAGGTGTCCTTTCCCTGCCTCACTTAACTGCATGGAAGGGAGAACTCCACCTGGGATGTTTGCAACCACACTTGGCACTCTCCCTATCCACCTTTGTTCTGCCAAGCTCAACTGTTTACGTGACTGCCAACCATCACCATCACAATCACTGGCAACAATGAACAGCAGAGGCTGCAGCAGGAATCCATCCTTGGCCACCATGCGGGCCACATGCAGTCGACCTGCCTCCATGCCCAAGACCTTCACAAGGCAGAGGGAGGACTGAAAAGACTGAGGTCATTCCAGCTCCAAGTCCTGCCCATTTGGCCAGAACCCAGGCCATTCAAAGTCCCAGAGGTCCAGTCTTAGGTCCCCTGTGGGCCTGCGATATGCCTAACTTAGGAGCAACACTCCAAACCAACCAACGTGAGTGGTGGAGGTGGAGGACACAGAGCACCCAGCCTGTTCCTCAGCGTGCCTCAGAGGTCCAGCTAGTTTGAAGCCTGTGGCATGTACTCAAGTAAATCACTCATTTCCGTCTAGGATTCCTTGCGGCAGACTCTATAAAACGCTTTAACCAAGGAGTCTCTTCTCCCCCCTGCCCTCTAAACACACCCTTTCTGTCAGAGGGGTGGTACAGGAGGTGACTCCTGTCACAGCACTCCCAACCTCTCTTTTCCTGCTGTCTCTCTCCACAGCACTTTTGACATCTGGCTGTCACTGTTCACTGACTTTGCCCTATCAGGAACGTTTGTTCCCTGAAGGCAACGGCTTGTTTTTGCTCATAGATGCTTTACCAGGGTCACAACAACAGCTGGCACACAGTAGGCACTTGATAAATAACCTGAAGTGCTGGGATGAGACCCTACACTTCTGCCTTCCTGGACTCTGTCGGTTGGGACCAAGGATACCTGCTAGGTGACAATTCCTGATTGGGCTCCCTCAGCTCTGCTCCCCCTGCCATACACATACAATTCTCTCTTAAGAGTGTCTAAGTGTGCATGTGAACATCTACTAATTGTGCAGCGCAAACAATAAAAGTCATAAGAGATCAAGAAGGGGAGAAAATTACCCAAGCTCAGGGACTTAAAAGGATCTGGGTTGATAGATTAAGTACAATTAATTGATTCACTGCCTCCATTACTCCCCCAGTCTGTGGCTGAGGCTCTAGGGGGAAAAGGAGACAAAGGCAGTAAGCAGGAGAATAAGCTGCTTTGTCAGAAGTCCCAGAGTGCCAAGGCCCTCACCCGCCCCTCCCCTGGCCTGCAGGAACCAGCTATCAGTTTGCAGGGAGGTGTCAAGACCACTAATCTACCACATCCTATCCCTCCCCACTGCACTTGGCTCTCCTCAACCAAGAGTGAGAAGGGAAGGATCACAGAGGCCTATACCCAATTCCCTACCCACCCCATGTCCTCACACCCTAACCGAGTACACAGGGGTTTTCCTGTGACACTGTTGTGGGGATCTGGCTACTTGTCTGGAGTGGCTGCTTGAGGTATGAGGTGCTGTGTAGATTACATCTTCACATGCAATAATAATCACCCAAGAGGCTGGGAGTGTAACTCAAGTGATAGAGTGTTATCTAGCACACACAAGGCCATGGGTTCAATCCCCAGCACCAAAAAAAAACCAAAAAAACAAAAAACACTCAAGAGACTCCTGGGAGTCAGACCTGGGGATGGCAGGTGGAGGGACAGCAAGAGAAAAAGAAACAAGGTGCCAGAGGCTAAGAAGAGGAGGTATTAGGCCCTTCTTAAATTGAAGCCTAACTACTGAAGCTTGTTCCCTAGAGAAAGGGTTCCAGATCTGGCTCTGCCACTAGCCAGCTGTGACCTTGGATGGGGCCTTGGTTTCCTGTGCTGCAAAATGCAGGAGTTGTTCACATAAGCTCAGGAGCTTCTGATCCCTTTAAAGGGTCAAGAACACTAAGGAATGAAGACAATCTGCCTTCTATTTTGACACACACACTAGGAGCCAGAACCCATTCATGTTATCTCTCTTCTCAGCCACTCTCAGTGTTTTTTTTTTTTTTTTTTTTTGGTTGTTGTTGTTTTTGGTTTTGGTGGTACTGGGGTTTGAACTCCAGGCTTTATGCTTGCTAGGCAAACACTCTACCACTTAAGCCACGCCCCCAGCCCTTTGTGCTTTAGTTATTTTTCAGATAGGGTCTTGTATTTTATGCTCAGGCCAGCCTGGACCACAATCCTCTTATTTACACCTCCTGTATAGCTGGGGTGACAGGCATGTGCCATCATACCAGGCTTATTGGTTGAAATGGAGTCTTGCTAACTTTTTGCCCAGGCTGGTCTCAAGCCTTGATCCTCTGGATCTCCACCTCCCAAGTAGCTGAGATTAAATGGGAGAACCTGGCCCCACAATTAGGTTATTATGTTCACAGCAAACCACGTTTGGTCTCTTTCTTGTGGGGTAGCAAGAAAGCTACACTGAAAACCAGCAGGCAAGACTTCCACTTGTCTTATCCATGAACTCTTGTGTCCATGGCTACCACAGCCTCTTGGGGTTCCATTTCCCCATCAGGCAAAGGATAAATATCTTTCTCCACCTATCTGGCCTGCTGTGGTGGGATTCCAAGCAGATCAATTTGTCACCCCTTGGGATGGTTAAGAGATGACAGCTAAGCAGTCCCTTATTTCAGAAACAAGAAGAAAAAGGGCAATAGGCAACAAACAGAGTGACTGCTTGGCGCCAAGTAGCAAGCACAATGAGAAAGAATATAACTGGAGGGCATGAGGCAGGGGACAGCTGGAACTGTCTTGGAATAGCCGAGCCTTAAACTTGGACAGACTTTGGTGCCACATAGCACTATCTGATGAAAGGACTCTACAGCAGGGGCTGTGCTACTTGGTACTTACCTAAAGGAGTACATAAGGCACTGCAATTAGTGAGAGGGAAAGGAACAGTGTAGAAGAGTGTGGTATCACCTCCACAGATGTGTATGGTGCTCTCTCCACCTGCCTGCCCAGATCAGTGATTCTAAGGCTCTGCTCCTCAGAGGGGACACAGCATCCCAAGTGCATGGCCATGTGCCACAAGTTATCTGAAGTCACAAGGTAAACATGGCACTTCTATTTTATACCATGGTAAGTAAAGTTTGTCATGTTTAAATAAGGGGCAAATGCTAAATTTGAATAATGTTTAGAAGAAAATTTAGACTTCAAAATATGCTATACCTGCCCAGGCAGGTCCCTAATCTGGCACCTTGGGAGCCATCACTACTCCAGGGAAATCAAACAAATGGAAGGAGAGTAGGGAGATAGAAAATGTGATCAGGCAATGACCCGACATCCCTAAGAAAGAAAGCAGCCAACATGACAGGAGAGTCTGCTCCAGTGAGGGCCCCTCAGGAATTGGCATACCAGGCATGGCACCATGGCTGGCTCCAGCTAAACTTTCTAGACAAGAGCATGGCCTCACAAGGCCCTGCCCCAGTACCAGCCGCAGGCTCAGGATTTGAGCAGACTACCAACCCCCTTCACAGCCACCATGGGCAAGTGTGACTGCTCAGGCCAGAATCAAGAGGAGGAGAGAGGGGAAAGGAGAACTGATAAATCTGCAGGAGGGATGGTCTGGCACCAGGAAGAGAGTTAACAGGCTGGGGTGGGAGGTGGGGAGGGGACGGGGTAGTGTGTGCCTGCAGATGCACATGCAGATCAGTGAAAAAAGAGCCATAAAACCAAAGCAGAGGAAAAGAAATATCCCCAGGTAGAGAAAAAAGTCCTAAAGAATGGGAGAAGCAGAGATCCAGTTCCCCTCTGGGAAGAGGTAACAGACACTTAGTAAAGGGAGAGAAACGAGGGGCAACACCTTGGGGGAAAGGAAAGGAGACACCAAGAATAGGTGTCTCTTCCTTGCCCTTCCCCTCCTTTCTTTCCTCCTTCCTTCCTTTCTTCCCACCCTCCTTTTTTTTTTTTTTTTTTTTTTTTTGAGACAGGGTCTTGCTATATAAACCTGGCTGGCATAAGCCTCCTGAGTACTGGGTTAACAGGGGAGCACCACCTTGCCTGACTCACCCTATACTTCTTAAAGGGCAGAGCAATAACCAGTGTGCTGGGGCTGACTCCATGCCCAATACCTTCTTCAGGGGCATCTTCTCCAAAACCAAGGGATTCTCACCCAACAAAAAGTTGTTTAAGGAACAATGTACCATCTCTCCCTGACTAGTTCCTTCCTGAACAATTCTGCCTGGATGAAAAATGATAACAGTAGAATGATATCTCACATTTAAATTGTTCTATTCTATTCTGGAACTTTCATTTACCTATTCCTCACCACAGGAGACAGCTGTGGGGCCCTGCTGTCCCCACTCTAGCCACCAAGCCTTCGATGGCAGGGCAGGAAGCAGAGCTGGAGAGGATGAGATGGGAACCACAGCAGGGCCCACTGAAGGGAGGCGCGTGCCGGCTGACCATCTGTTGCTTAACAGCGAGGCTAAAGAGAGCAGCGCTGGCTCTGTGCCACTCCCCCCTCCTCCGCAGACAGCAGCAGAACGTATTCCCAACATGCCTGCCCATCCTGGGAGCATCTCATTCCCACACTCACAGACACAGACAGAATGCATGTGGGACAACGGTGGGAGCCACTGCAGGGCTGTGTGATGTTCACATGGTGGGTTCCCCCGAGGATTTTCAGAGCAGGTGTAGATGACCAGGAGCAGGTGAGCAGAAGAGATGTCAGTTTGTGTTCTTGGGATCTCCTTGTCTAATAGTCATCCTTAAGACCTACCACCCAGGGTGACCTGCAAAGACCAGAGTCCCAGTGCTGTCCCTTAGGCTGCTCTGGGAAGGTTCAGTTGTACTTTTCCTCTAATTCCAAGTTCAGACCCAGATATTCTGGCTTCTGACATAATTCACATTAACTCCATAATCCACCTACTTATCTAAACTACTTTAAAGCTACTTACCATTTCAGTTTGTACTTCTTCTTACAGGGATAAATTCAATAAGTTGAGAAGCACCTACTTTGAACACTATAGTCTTTGTACAGGTACCTGTTTCAAGCCCTAACATGCCCCTTCACCTAGAGTTCAACGTTCACATATCAAATTCACAGGATTTTCCCACTGGCATTTTTGCAGACTTCAGGCATCAAGACTCCAAATGTTAGTCCTAAACTCTAACTTTCCATATCTACCTTTATGTGCTGGCCCCCAACCCCAGTTAGCTCAGGTATCCTGCTCTGGATCTCTGGATATTCTGCAGCCCAGGGATATAGCAGAACCTCCGCCCCCCACAGGGATGAAGCCATGCTGCAGAGAGCTCCTGCTGGGAAAGCCAATGCACTAGAAGCACATGACACCCTCAGATCTTTGCACCCTGTCTGAACTTCACCTTCTCTATGAAATTTTTCCTTTCTAGGCAGAACTAACTGACTGCTACGCAGAGCCTGTTTCCTGTACCCTTGCTGGGCAACACAAGCACCTGCTTGAGTGTCTGCCTACTCCACACACCCTGAGTTCCTCTAGGGCACTGTTACTGATCTGTGTATCCTCAAAGCACATAATAAGTGCTTGGTAATGGCTGGAATATGGACCCAGGAATAAACAGCAATGAATCAAAGCTCCTCTGCCAATTCCTGCCAACCCATAAGCCTCCTAAGAATGCCCGACAATAAGGTTCCATAATTGTTGTTATCTTCAGATATGGAAATTCCAAAGTGTCTAGTCTAATAGGCTTTGTCACTTTGCCAGTCACACAGAGCACTGCTGGTAAATTGTGGGAGACAGAGAGATACCTGGAAGACAGGAGCATGTTCAGCCCAGCTGATTGACCAATGGCTAAAAACTCACCAGCTGCCTAGTGAGCAGTCTTTTCTGATCAGCCAGCGTAAGTATACATCTGGAGGTGTGAGGCCAAATTCAAGTGTGTGCATCATACACACACACACACACACACACACACACACACACACACACCCCACTTGATTAAGACTTATTCTCCTGGCCTCATCCAGTGCTTTGTCAAAATATGAACATCCTTTGATTCTTACGGGCAGAACAAGCCTGAGGTCATCAATTTATAAATCAGTGTGTCCCAAACCTCACTTGCAAAACAGTCACTTAAAACACAGACGGAACAGAAAGAGGCTTGCATGGGAGCAGGAACCACAAGAGCTCACTTAGCTGCAGAGTAGTGGCAGAGCTTGAGACCTAGTCAGGAGCAGTGACATTAAAGGTTCAAAAGACATTCCCAGGCCTGTGCCAGCTCAGGAGCCCAGGCACAGTCGGTTCACCAGCTGCCTGCACTAAGCTCTGTGCTGCACGCATGGGGACATCCTATGTTGGAGGTAAAGCTTATGGCTCTTGGTGCAAATCCACCCACCAGGTAATCCTCAAAACCATCTTGCCTCTCTGGATATCAAGGCCCCCCAATATACAGGAAGCATCCCCTCTGCCACCCACCTCCCTCTGGGAAGACAAAATAAAGTAACACATGGGAACACAAGAGAAAGTGAAGACTATGGAAAAAGAAGAAAAAGGGCAGGTGCTGGAAAGACAAAGAGGGAGAGTCAGACCTCCCCTCTCCAATGCAGAAGTGACCCCCAGGATTACCGGGGTATCACTTTATTACATCTTCTTTCCTAGAAAATTAGCCAAAAGACAATTCTGCCCCACCCACCAAATTCCCCAAGCATCCCTTGCTTCAGATTCCCAGGACGTACCCGCAGTCCACCCAGCAGATGGTGCCTTGTCCTTTCACTGCCTGGGCCACAGTGGATAATAACCTGAGATGATTTTCAGCTGCTGCTTCTGTAAAAGAACAGAAAATTAAACACTGATGCCCAAGAGCTCTGGGCTGTGGGCAAGGTAGAGTAAATCCAAGAAAAGAAGAGGCTCCTTGGTCCTGGTGTCAATTCCTGTGGATCTGGGCAAAGCAACTCAGAACTACTGTGGGATAGCAGAGACTTGGAAAATCCTCTGTGGCCTAGTATTTCAAACCTGTCATCCTGCAATGGTCTACTGCACAGTGGCAGGATAGCTGTGGTCAGTGTTTAACACTTGCACCCAGAAGACTACTGGTCACCTTCCCCATTTGACCTCAGTAAGTTCACTGTTAAAGGTCCATCAGGCAGATGCGGGGGAGGAGAGTGATCTGTTGCCTTCCTCTGTCTAATACCACATGATACATCCCAAAGCCAAGCAGAAATGATGTCTGAATTATGTGCCTCCACGGATTCTCCTCTTCCAGGGTGGATAATGGTAGCTGTTTGTGAATACAAAGCATGCTGAGCTTTTCACAGATGTGAACAAAAAGCATCGTTCAAGAAACATGCATGGAGTGTCTCAGAGGAGGCACTCCCAGGAAACCCTGGCTAGAGCAACAGGAGGAACGGGACACTAAGGCGGGGAAGCCATTGTTTCACCTCACAGATGAGTTATGGGGTGGGGTGGGGGCGGGGAAGGAAAGCAATATAAATAGCTCCCACCCCAGCCCTGCCTTTCAGCCATGGGAGGCACTACATAGAAAGATGGGAGGGAGGAAGTAAAATCCAGTTTCTGTGATGCTCAGAAAACCCACTGGAGGTCACAAGTCGGGTGCAGCAGGTGTGGGGCAAGCAGTGAAGTGAACGTCCAGTCCCCGCCCCCAGCATGCCAAAGCAGCAAGAAGCCTGGTAAATGGTCACCATAGGCATTCCACTCTCAAGGAATTGAGAAGGGGCTGGGCAAGGGGTGAAGGGACAAGGAGAGAGGTCAGACCCAGCCTCCACTGCAGGCCCCACTGACTCCACCTTCCTACTCTCTAACTTACCAGATTTCTTGTCTCAGCCCCATGCTGGTCCCAAAGCCCTATCACTGGAATTAACCCATTTCTTTCTATCCTTCATTAGAGGACCCAAAAGGCAGAGGTAGCAAAGGGGAGCAGTTCTGCCACCAGAAGCTAGTAGACCTCAATCAAGTCAGTCATTCCTTCTCAGCTTTGATGTCCACATTCACAAACTGGTTATCTGTTTGATATTCTGCACTGCCTCCCTTGTGGCAAAGGAGCAAATGAGGCTCTTGTCAAAGTACCCTATCACAGTCTGCCCCAGGGAGGAAGTGAACAGGCTCCTTCGCTGACAAACAGCCCAGCTCTAAGAGTATTCAAGGGGATGAGACATGTTTATTCAGGGGCACAAACCCCAGTGTCAGAGTAACAGTGCTTCCCCCTTGCCTCAGTTTACCCATTCCTGACAGCAGAGAAACACTAGTCACATGCTGGATTCCAACAACAAACTTAGGGAGTGTGTGTGCCAGACCCTCAGAAGGGGAAGGAGCAACAAGTGGCAATAAGGATGGCCATATGCCAGGGATGCTCAGGGGTGTAGGCTTCAGGCAGGACACACATCCAAACCATCCATCAGTCCCAAGTGCAAATGAGTGTCAAGGATGAGCTGCCAGGAGGAGCTGCGCCCAGTACACTGGCCCAGCTACTGGCTGCTGCTTCTCCAGGAGCACAGGAAATCTGGCATCCTCAGGAGCAGCAAAAACACTTAACTCTGCTGGAACAACATCAACAGAGGCAGCCACTCGCCTTCCCCAAAGTCACTGCCAAGAGCCAGGCAAACCTCTCTCCATCTGCTGTGCCCTCGCCAGCCTCAAGGTCAGAAGAGCTCAGGCCACTGCTCCTGCTCCAATAAAGCTGCCATGCCTGAGCCTTGGGCCCACTCCAAAGTCAGTACTGAATCTGACACAGGCTGCCAGCCTGGTGAGTACCCCTAAGCCTGGGACCAGTCAGTTAATCAGCAGCTCCAGTGAAGCACACCCTGGCAGGTCTTGGCCCACACTCACTGTGGTCTCTGCCACAGCCCCCAACATCCTCTCCCTCCTGAGGCAATGAAGGGCTCCAGAGTACTTTCCCCAAGGAATGCTCATCATGAGGAACTGAAACGACCCTCAGGATGCAAAATCAGCCAACTGATGCTTCGATGTAACTCTGTTCCCCTCTTCTGAGGAAAGCTGACAATCCCCACATTCTTCAGACCCTCTCAGCGGTCTCAGTCTCAGTCTGCCTCTGAGTCCTCCTGCCTCAGCTGCCCGATCCCACCCCACCCTGATGAGTGACTTTGGTGAGTAGGAGGGGATACTCACCAGATTTGGAGTAAAGAACCAACACATTATTCCGGGTCCTGAGAAGTTTTTTCAAGTCCTTGGGGTCAGAGATTCTCTCGATGAGGGAGGAAACCTTAGTGGAGGACAGCCAAGTTGGCAGGATCACCTGGGGACCAAGTAGCCAAAGACCATGAGTCTAGCTTGTAGCCCACCTACGGTGCCCAAAGATGTGCTGCCCTTTTACTTCAGGAGGTGGGGGTGGGGACGCTAATGAACCCTTCTCAGGACATCTTTACCTCTAATCCATACCAGTCCCCACTCCTATCCCCTCCATGTCCTTTGACACATCGCCCCAAATGCTACATGCTGGAACAAAATGAAAACTCCATCCCACCTAGAAGCTCAAAAGCACAAACTGACAGGCAAGCAGGTCATGTTCAGGATAGGAATGGATGGGTGAGAGGCTTTACTGTTTCACATATGGCCCAGCAATCTTAGAAGGCCAGCCAACAGGAAACAAGCCAACTCTTCCCTGGAGAGTGTAGGAACCCTTGGGAACTGGAGGTGCCAGGCATCTCTGCAGGCATAATAAAGGGTGGGCAATGAAAGTAGGAATAAGGAGCAGTCACAAAGCAGATCCCCTCACCCAGCCCACTTGTCAGAAGACAGGGATTACTATATGACAAGCTCCACCAGGCTGGGTGTGGGAGATGGTCCTTAGAGGAAAAGGGAATTATGGGAAGGTCGACACATTGAACCCTGAAATCACCCATCTCTCCAAGCTCCCACCCCAGCATCTCCCTTCCCTTTTCCAGAAGGCTGCCTGTCAGCCTCATTCTCCAAAAGAGATGAGAGAATTTTTCTCTGGGGAACCTGAGGAAAAAAGAAAAACAACCTGGAGGCAGTGATTTGGAGAACCAACAGTGATACCCTGAGTTCCTGCTGAGCTCTCTACTGCAGACTCTCCCAGTAGATAAGTACCCTGTCCTCCATCCACACACGCAGAACCCTCAATCCACATGCCAGCACTTGTTCTTCCACACAGATACCCAAGATCCACGAGGTGTCTTCTGGCTCAACACAAAATCCAAACAAACCAATGGAAAGATGAAACTCAGAAGGAAAAGAAAATAAACAGGAAAGAAAATGATAGAAATGAAATGGTATACCCATAAAATAAGAATAGAATGTTAGAGTCATGGTGAATCAGGTAAAATCCTCAGAAAGTAGATCTATTATAAAAATAACTGAGGTTGGAATCAGGTGCTGGTGGCTCACCTAGCTACTTGAAAGGCAGTGATTGGGAGGACCGTGGTTTGAGGCCAGCCTGGGCAAATAGTTTGCGAGACACTATCTCAAAAATAACCGATACTAAAAAGGGCTGGTGGAGTGGTTCAAGTAGCAGAGTGCCTAGCTAGCAAATGTTGAGACCCTCAGTTCAAATCCCAATACTGCCAAAAAAACTGGGGTTGGAAACAGCATTGAAAAAATTAAAAATCAAGAAACAAAAAAGGATATACAATGAGGAAAAAAGTAATCGATCTATTAAGTACAAGAACTAAATTAAAGAAAGTCGGAAAAAGAAGAAAAATAATTTTTTTAAAAATTCAAAAAATGTTATAGAAACGCAGGCTGTGAGTCTCCAGTGGAGAGAGCCCAGCCTCATGAATAAAAAAAGACTCTTGGGACTGGAATGTGGCTCGCTATACAGAATTTGCCAGAATGCTCAAAGCCATAGGTTGATCCCCACACCTCAAGAGGGGATTCTCACCAAGTATATCAACTGAAAACTTTCAGAATACTGCTGACAAAGAGGAGATCCTAAAAAACTGCAGATAGAAAAACACCCATCACATACAAAAGATCAGAGGTGAGAACTGGCAAAAGTCTGCTCACCACACCCTGAAAGACAGGACACTGTCTTTGGCCATTCTCAAGAGCATTATTTCCAACTGGACGTCTGCAACCAAACTACCTGTGAATCATGAGTACAGGTTTCCTCAGGCTGCAGAGACCAGATGTGTAAAATTTATCACCAACAAACAGACTCTTTCTCAGGAAGCCACTGGAACCCATGCTCTACTAAAACAAGAGGCAAATGAAACACAAGAGCCACACAGAACCTAGGAAAGAACAGATCCCACAGAAGAGAGGCAAGATGTGCTACTACGTTGACAGTGAAGAGCTGACCCAGAATAACAACTGGTCAGCAGGCTACAGAGCAATCAGCCTGGGCTGGAGCAAGATCACAGGTCATGGAGGAAAAAGGTCAATGAAAGAGGCAGCTGGAGAGTATTTGATATGCTCCACCATACAAATAGGGATTTTAATTTCTGGCAGAAAAATTTAAAAGAAAATCTGACCACAGTTACACAGGTGATAGGAGAGCCAGGATCTGAATCCCAGTCTAGTCCCCAACATGCCTTCTCAATAGCCAGAGTCTTGAGTGAGTCTGAGCTCTACCACTCAAGAGCTAAGATGCCCAGCAACAACACTCCACCTTTCAGAGGCTTAGTGACTCACGCCTGAGGGTCACATGTTATATGTGATACCTCCCTCAAGGGACTGGTGTGAGGATGAGATCAGGTAACCTTCTGAACACACACTACAAATTTGATAGTATCAGTTACTGTAATATATATTATCGATTTCCATCTCAGCAGAGTGGAAGACAGAAACATCACCTATTCTAGTATTTCTAAATAAATCTGCCACTGGAATCCAAAAGTTCCTTCTCTGTGGAATAAAACCGCTCAGCAGGAAGAGTAGAAGAATTTTTCTCCTTTGTTCCACTTTGCCAGAGCTGTGCACAATGCCTCAGGACCCATGGCCTTAGGCAAGCCACCTTTCAGGGCTCACCAGAAAGTTCCTCAGCTTTGACCAGCATGTCATCCTACAGTTCCCAGAGAGCTAATGGACTTCAGACTGGTAAGTCCACAGCCCAGTGCACATGGTGATGAGAGACAGAGAAAAACAATCTCATGGAAAACCACATTGACTTGCTGCTCTGTTTTTAATCCTCAGAGAATCTGACTAGTCAAGAAAGACAACTGCCCTGGCCAAGGACTTTGACCTGCAGACCAGGTCCCTGAGCCTGGCAGGCACCTACACCTCAGGAAACCACCTAGGGGTAAGCACATAGCTGGGACTCAGTGACACAGTGAGCACACAAGAAACCACAGAGCCTGAGTGTGGGCACATCCTGGCTTCCTTCCTATAAGACCAGTCGGTCCCTCATGTTATCTAATCAAGGGCCACCTGAAATTAAACAAGCCACTTTCCATCCAGCCACGAAAGCCTCTGGCCCAGTGTTTACCATGACACAGCAGAGAACTTAAGTTCTACCTGAAATACACTGAGCAAATTGACTTTGCTTGAAACCCATCACTGGGCATGAAGCTGGGACTGGCACTGGGCCCTCCCTTAGCTGTCCTGCTTTACAAATCTCTAGGAAGGGTCTGTCTCCAACCTATCTCACCTTGACCCCCTAACTGCTATCCCCAAATTAAGAGCTCTGGAGGGCAGGTGCCCTGAAAGCTCTCAGAAACATCTGTCCAGTTTAATTAACATGACAAATCACACCCACTACCACACTCCTGACCTACAGAGGTCACCTGCAGAAAGTATGCTTCAAGGAGAGTCCTTGGCAGTTCTCATGGAACCCAAGGAGACTACAGACCATGAGGGTCTGGCATGGAGCTAGTTGGAGAAAGCAGATGGAACATGACCAGGGGTCTTGATAGCCTGGCTAAAGAGCTGGCCTAGGCAGGAAGTGAGTGGGGACATGGCTGACTGGTTAGCAGGGAGAGTACAAGGACATCCAGGCTCATATGCCCAGACAGGCAGGCAGTAGAGAGAAAAGGCTTAATCTAGCTCTCTCCAGGGGAAAACAAAAACTCAATGACCCTTTATAGGTAAGCAAGGCAGGAAGAAAAAAATGTCTAAAACAGCCTGAGGATGCTGGGCTGAGAGACTGGGAACAGACGGAGGAGGTTCTTCTTTCGGGCAAAGGAAGACAACAGGTGCAGGCTTCTCAGGCTGCAGACATGTGAGCAAGAAGTACCCATGAACGCATCTTCCAGGCTGGAGGTTGAGCCATGAGGTAACTGGAGTCTCCAGGGGCTGGGGCCAGAGACAGTGGATACCCCAGTTCAGGAGTAAGGACCTAGGGGAGGTGGGGAGGGCGGCATGAACACTGCCCAGGGAAGAGACACAAGGAAAGGCAGACCAGGCTGAGTGGTGAGAGGCTGAGGAGAGACTGACTGGGGTTATCTAGGAAAATTTCTGTGGAGGGCAGGTGGATTGGAAGCCAGGCTGCTGAGCAATCACATCCAGTGCAGGAGCTGGGTGACCAAAAAAGGAGCAAGCAGGTGCAGTAGGATCAGGAGAAGGATGGTGGGCATCCATGGGCACAGAAGATGCATGATGTGCCTTGTCAGGCAGGATTTGAAGGTCTGGGAACAAGAGAAGAAAGACAACGGGGCTAGCCAGACCCAAAGAGAATGCAGGAGATGAGGTCCATGGCACTAAGATCCAAGGCTTTGCATCTTCTGAGGAAGGAGGGATGAAAGGCCATGTTCACCCCAGCCAGCAACCACACAGGCAGCCAAGGAGGTGCCCTTCCTCCCTCCAGCCACTTAACATTCTGCTCCCCCTTCCACTTGCATCTGTTAACCTTTCTGTGTGTGCACCTTCCCTTCCTCAAGACGCAGCTCCAGTGAGCCTAGATCACCTTGCCCAGAGCCTTCCTGAAGACTTCATAAGTCACAACCCACAAACCTCAAGGACAACAATAACCACAACCACAATAACAGCGTCAATGATGCACAGACTATCTGATTCTTTGTCGTGCCCTGGAGTGGAGGAGAGGCACAGTATTGAAGCCTTGCTCCCAAAGCCAGCCTGGTATTGTTCCTGCACTTAGCAGGCTCCTCACATTAGAAGTCAACACTGTAGAGGTCAAGGAAAGGAAAAAGAAGCCTTATGTTCACCTGTCCCCACCCTTTGCCTTTTTCCACTTACAAGCCCTCTGCTTTATCAGCGCTTATCTTGGGCTGCGCACACACACACATACACACACGTGTCCTCCAGCTGGGCTGAAACCCACAAAACATTTCTCTGGCTTGGAGCACAATGTGGTAGGGAAAGACAGCTTCCTCCTTTTTT